TCGTTCATTTTCTCTAGTTCGACTGGTTAGGGGCGAAGGTGAGGGGATGAGATATTAGTGGGCCACGTAAGTGAGGGATCATGGTTGGAATGATTTATAACATCATTCCCTGCTTGTTATTGCATCCCCTCCTGGAGTTCACATGTGATTTGATCCTGTCCTTGTGTCTGCCGTGCAATAGATTGTTGTAGCTAATCTGGGCGGTGCCTGCAGGGGCTGGCCCGGCAGATTTATGATCATCATAGTTGCTGCCTGCTTCTTCCTCAGGAAACATTCTAGCATTTCATGGGGGTGGTTCATGGTGTGAGGCCAGGGGGCATCCGAGATTGGCTCGCTGCCGGTTTTCGAATATGGTTGGGAAGAGGGCTTGTGCCGTGAGGCCGCTCTTCTGAATCCTCTATATATATATGGTCTCCTTCCTCCTGTGGGATCCACCTGCAGGCTGGTGCAAAACAGCCTGTGAGCGCAGATGGATGTCATTTGACTATCATGGCCTTCATCAACTATACACCCTCTCATCCAGAACGCAAAACCCTTCGCGCCTATCCTGATCACTTTCACCCTGCATACTCTACATTGACAACCCTCCTCCAGTTCCCCCCAACCCCTCTCCTTCCTCACTGCGCATCCTAGATTCTCCCTAACATACCCTACATCTGTATCACACCAGACACAGCCTGTGCACGCTGCACTATTGAAGTCACATCCTCTACCCAACCGTCTCCCTTACAGTGTCCCCTCCTGCAACCCACTTCAAGACAACCGCAGCAGCCAAGATCGGGCAGAGCCTGTTCTGCTGAATGATTTTGACAAGGCCTTTGTAGAGAATGGAATTACAGATAGCCTAAAAAGCGAGACTGTTGTGGGTTCAACCACCAACACCATTTCTTGTGGTAACATCATTGCACGAGATTCGTGGCAGCGCCGCCATGATATGAGACTCAACCCTAAAGGTAGGTGGTTTCTATATTCTCCTTTCTTCTCTTTCAAGGGCGGCAAGCATTCTGGGCTTATTGCATTTCTAATCCAGATTGCCTTCTAGATATTCTCAAGAGGAATGAGGATCGAGGCCAGGAGCAGAACAATGAAACCTCGACTGCCCTGGAGTCATTCCCGGGCTCTATCATGATCCAACCCTCTTTGCTGCCGGAGCCTCGCACTGGTGATAGTGAATCAGATCCACTTCCGGCTCCAGAGCAGCAGATACACTTGGACTAGGAGCAGGATGAATCATAGGACCAAGAATGGTCATGTGGCAGTCAAGGCAAGTCTGTACTGCATTCCTTTTCTCATAGGCCCATGTTCCTAACACATGTTTGTAGATACACCTATGGCGATGGTAGCAGAGCCTGGTACCAAGAAGATATCTACGGTGCAGGGGGATTTCACATCTCGCGAGAGTGCGGATTCCACCTGTGCCTCGTTGTTGGCTCACTCAGTGGAGTCAGATCAACATACGCGCGAGGCTGATTCCTGTAACGCGGGGCGATGCCAATCCCCCTTTACGGCACGGCACCGCGGATCCGATACCGGGTCTATGGAGCCCATGGTTGTAGTTGTGGTTCCAGCCCTTTCCCCTGGTCATCGAAAAGGCTCGGCAGCCCTCAAGGGGAAGGGGAGCAAATGCCAAAGCAAACAACGGCCCCTCCGAACCCGTCAACAGAAGACCCTGCGGAAATCAATACGTCAAACTTTGGAGAGCCGTGGCCGTTGTTCCCCAGGTACCCCCACTAAACTCTGCAATGATGGCGGGGTTGAGTCAGACACCAGCGGCACGAGCAGCCCCTGTGGCGACTCCGACGAAGATTACACTGCGGGCAGCGATGACAGTGATTCAGTGATAAAGCCATTGAAGCGCCGTAAACTTTCTTCTCAGTTAGCCGTTACCTCCCCATGCCGACCTCAGTCTCGGCCTCAGCCTCGACATTGGGTTGCACGAGTCGTTAGTGATCATCGAGGGATTGAGCGGGAAGCCTCGCAGCGTACGATCAGCGGCCGTCACAGAGCGCTCCGTAAGCTCCACTCGTGCGGGCTCTGGACAGTGCACACGCTCCAGTCCGGTGGTGCCTGGCAGCAGCACCGGGCAGACGTTAGGCCCACAGCTATTATCCCCAGAGGACATCTCCGCACTGGTTTCTGCCTTTGCCCAAAAGCTCCTGGAGCTCCGCAGAGATTCTTGGACAGGTGCCATGGATATCATGAACGCCGAGGTAGCTGGGGTCGTTGCTGAGAGAGGGAGCGAGGATAGAAGATTTGGAGAGCCAGGCATTAAAAGGCCTCGGTGGACTCAGGAAGATGATGCCCGTCTAAAGGATCTGAAGATGCGGGGCTGGCATTGGTGGGAGATCAAGCAAGAATTTCCAGGGCGAACGAAAAGTGCCTTGCAGCAGCGATGGTCAACATTCCCTGCAAGGGAAGCATCGCCAGTAACCGACATGCAGCAGCAGTAAATGGGAGAATGTAAGCCAATAAACTGATTCCTCTAAATGTCTAGGATGCGCACAAAACTGTTCTCACCATGTCACTCAGGCATAGCAAATGGTGTAGCTAGATGTATTCTAACTTTGTCTTAAATTGTAGTCGTTGAACGCGTAAAATTTGAACTCTCTGAGGAGTCACGAATCAAATAGGATCATTACACCACTTTCAAATGAGTACTACCCACTTTGTCAATGTATTCTCAACCACGACTTCCCGGTGGTTTGAGGTTTTATGACAAAACTGTGCTCAAATCACTGCCTCAAGTTGTAGAACTGTTTATTCATTTATATGTATCAAGACAAAGCAAGAAGAGGGACCGAGAAACAACTAGTGTATCTAAACAGTATGCATTGAGCAGGCTAACTAACCCTAAATGATACTTATTCACCATAACAGCGCAATCATTAAACCTATTGCGTTTCAATCAGAGCTTTGGGTAGCATTTCAGATTTCGCAGCTGCCACCGCACTGTGGTTGGTCAAAACTGATTGGCGATTCGGATCGATCGTTTTAGCATAGTTAGATGTCTTGAGTCGGAATTACAATTTCCCGGTAGTCTAATTTGGCCATAAGTTCGTGGGTGGCTACGCAAGACCATCTTCGAAAAGCTCTGAACGTCTCAGCATCGCCATGCTAACCTTCAACCACCCACTTCGCTGGCCGATATGGTCTACTCTATGGCATTTTATCTCTGCATTTTCATGGAGCATTGTTCGCCCATTCCAATTTAGGCTCCATGGGTCGGCCGAGCTAGGAGTTGAGGATGTTGGGCAGTGCACAAGCATAGAAAAGGAGATACAGCCAGTAAGATATAACACCAAACTATAGTATGCCTTTTGCTAAACTTTTATTGTCTAGCACGCGAAATCAACTCCACTGAAAAATTCACAAACGCACATTGAAGAAAATAGTTCAGTTGCATGGGACGGAAGCTCGGAACTGGTAGTCTATGACCCTCTTGTCAAAGAAGTTCTGGATCATGGCTCAACCTCCATCATTACACGGATCAAACCTGGGGTTGTTCTCAAATCGCCTCGCTATTCATGGTGGCATTCTTCAACCGCAGAATCCCATGATTCAGTCAAACATATCAAACATAGTTTCAATGTTGAAGCGCAAATTCTTGGGATCTTAGGGGACCACCCTAGATAATAAGGTATGGATACTCAAAATTTTATTTCCTGTTCAGCATTAATGTATGCTCAGGTTCCTTTGCCTCTTTGAAAGCCCCCGAAGGCTTCTTTTTAGTGAGGCCAATGCTGGCAATTTTGCAAACATTACCTTGCCAACCCCCCCCGTGTGATTAGTACAATCCCGCGTCTTCAATGGTGCTTCTCAAGCCGCAGAAGCTATTCAAATACATCCCCCCAGAAGGGCGTTATCCACTCTGATCTACGCCCCTGAAAACTTTTTTGCCGCCCAGGAATTTCGATGGTATTCTCAATCTTTTCCTTAGTGATTTTGGAGGCTCAACTAGCCGTGTCATAGATGGTGGACATCTCCCGGATTCTGGCTTTTTCCACCCACGGAAACCGTGGGTGTCAACGAAAGCAACAGATATATTCAGCCTTGGATCAGTGTTCTATACGATTATGACTGGTCACTGGCCATACAGGTCTGCAGGGCCGTTCAGATCATTGAAGGAGAATTTGAGTTACGGAGAAAGAGTGGATGAACTCTTCTCCTTGGCTAAGTTTCCCCCAGTTGGAGGTCTAATTGGCGGAGACATTATAAAAGGTTGCTGGATGGAACAGTACGGAGAAGTAGATACAATTGTTCATGATCAGGGCATCATATTCAAAGAATTTTCATTACAGGCTAAGAAGCATGAGAGTGTTGAGTTCTAGCCGCTATTTGAAATAACATAACAGAAATCGAAACATCGTCTGTCATTCATTCATGATTTCTCTGAAGTTGTAGAAAATTGTTGAGGCGTGCCTTTGTTGCCAAAAATATACCCTTAGTAACTACTGTAGCTAAAGGCAGACTATGTGTTGGCCGTTACGGCCGTTGCGGCTATTAGCTGTGGCAATCTCCCTAGATCACATGACCAACCACTATATTAAGCTCTTTGTAAATAGATCTATCAAGACTAGACTGGCCGCCGGGACCATGAATTTCACATTTGGTCCCATTTGGTCTGGTTCCATACATTTCTTGGTGTGAATCCCGCTGGGACTGGCTATCAAAAAAACATGTAAAGTGACTATATATCAGATCTTAAAATGAAATCATGACTTGAAAAAAATGAGAAAGTGGTTTCATTTGATCTCATTTAGTTCTATTCTTAGCATAAAGTTACTATTTTTAGACATTTTAAGGTTTTTTTAAACTATTTTTAATTTTTTAAAAAGTAATGCTTTTTGATAATACTTAAATGAGATTTAAAGTCATTTAAAGTAATAAAAATAATTTAAATTAAGAAGTGAAAATCATGATCTCATTTTAAAAATGTGATAAGAGTAGACAGTAAGTCTCACTGAAACAGTATAAGACTACTATCTAATGTTAAAACCATGTAATGAGATCAGTCAAATTGATAATGAAACTATTAAAAAATCTGATTCTGATCTCAGACACGGTCACACAGTCAGTTTAATCAAGACAATCTTTAACTATTCTACAGATTATGATTCTGAATAGCATATTTTCCTTTTTAAGAAATGTTATATTAATATTTTGATGAGAGTAGTTTATCTTTTTCAGAGAGGCTCTTACTTTTTACTAGAGATATTTTATTTTCTCTGAATTCATTGATCAGTAGATTTATATTCTTTTTAAAAATATATTCTTTATTATAAAAAATATTATCTGTTTTTAAATATCTAGAAGAAGTAGAGTTATCTTAATATAAGTAGTATATCTATTACTTCATAGTTCAGCTTAAGACTCAGAATTTCTTATTCTACTAGATAACTTATTAATAGAATAATTACTTATTATAAGAAGAATTCTGAGTTGTAAGATAAGAGTAATATTAGTTTTTATCACAGTATGAAATTTAATAGTAAGATAATAGAAGTGCTTTAGAATAAAGAAAAGTAGTATTAATATTTATTTATAGATTCTGCGTATTTTAACTTAATAAATTCTTCATTATTTCTTATCTTTAAAATGTTAACTTTTAATAATAATCTGAATTAACTTATCTATTACTCTGTAGATAATCTTATAAATCTATAATTTGAAAGAATATACAGCTGCTGAATAATAACACAGCTGCTGAATAATAAGCTTATAAATGTAAAGAGACTCTAGCAGCCGTTAATTAATCTATATATAAGAAGTTAGTATACATCTGTAATCTTGTACTGACTTAAGCAATCTTTGAATCATATCTGATAGTATGTTTAAAAATCAGTAAGAAGTATATACTTCTTCAGAGTATAATAATTTTATCTATAAAGTAATTTATAGTTATTATATTAGAGTGATTCTAAAATGCCTCAGAATAAGAGTGTATAAAGAAGTAGTAAGTAAAAAAGTATCTGATTGATACTACTCTGCTTATTAATTGAAAACTTTATACTCAGATAAATACTATATATACAAACATAATAAGATATGAGAAAAAGAAGATAAAGATAATGAATACTGATTTAAAGAAATTCACTCTCTACTTAGAAGAATAAAAGAAGAATAGTTATTATCAGAATTATATAAAATTAACAGAAATTATAAAATTATAGATACTGTATAATTAATAAAAATCTTCTCAAATGAATATCTTCTCTAATTAATATAAACAATACTCTTCTCTGTTATTTAAATCAGAAAGATATATAGAATCTCTTTAAAGATTTATTTAAAACAGTAAGAAAAGTAACTAAGACTGCAGAACTGAAAGTAAAACTCTGTATATATATAAAAATTCTGAATGAAATTGAAGTCTTGTGTACACAGTAATAGACTGAGATAGAAGCTAAGTAATAGTTAATATTTACTGTGAATTAAGTATTTATTATAAAGAGCTTCACTGATGCAATTATTATTATTAATAAGAAAAGAGAAAATCAGATTGAAGATCTGCAGTAAGAGATTGAATACTTATATAGATATATAACTGTATTAAATGTGAAGATCTTATTATAATTATTTATAATCTGTTCAAAAGTGTATATATTATTTGAGACAATTATATATAATGAAAATTTAAGTATAAGTTATATCAAGCTGAGTGATCTGTCAGAGCTATTAAGCTTTAATAGTAACTGAAAAAATAATACTGTAATCAGCTAGCTCAGTTAAATATAATTGTATTATTATGTTAAGTGTGAACTTATAGATAGATAGTTAATGAAATTTTAATAAGTTTTAAAATCTGCAGTTATTGTTATTATTATTCTTCTTCTTCAATTATAGATGTATACAGTCAGAGACTATAATATCTATCTGAGAACTTTTAGTTCTCAGAGTTTTTCTAATATCTATAGAGTTAACTATTATACATTTATCAATTTCAGATATACAAAATCAGAAAATTTCAGCTTAGAATATAAAAACTCTTTATAAATTGCAGTATTTTAACATCTTCTGATACTTTGAAATCATTTGAAAATATCATGACAAAAGAAAAGAGAACAAAGTCTTAAAGATAGATATATTAAATAAGTAGATAGAAAAGAATAGAAAAGAGAACTATAGAATAAAATCTCTGCAGTTTACATTTTAAGCTATATACATATTTTAACACTATACAACTGACTGCTGTCTCTGTTCTCTCAGACCTGCTTCAGAGATTATCATTCTCTCTAAAAAGCTGTCACTTAGCTAGCTTTTGTGACTAGCTTATGTATAAGTGAGATTCTCACTAAGAATAATATCAGAGCTACTCAATTCTAGTTAAGTCTCTAATCTTCTAACTATTAATCTCAGTATTCCAGTCTATTAATTAACTGTCACAGTCTTGCTTATACTAATTATCTATTAAGAGTATTTAGATCTTATCTTATCTAGATTCTTGTTAGATTCTTACTAGATCTGAGATATTCTAATCAGATAGTTTTTAAATTTCAATTCTCTGAAAGTAAGTGTTTAGAGTGAGAAGAATAAGATCTGATTAATTAAGCTTGATAATAAGTTACTATTTTATAAGCACTCTAGATCTCAATCACTCTAGTACTAATCTAACTTAAAGTACTCAGAGAGCTGTTAATTCTAAGATCAGTGAGAATTAGTATCTGAAAATCTCTGAAATGAATATTTTAATCTTAATAATAATTTGTTATAGTGTATCTGAGACTCTCTGATACTGTTTTATAACTTAACAGTGAAAGCTGTGATTAAGATAACTCTCACAGAGTTTGAACTTGCTGTCTCTTGACATTTATTCTCTGAGAAAAAGGCTGTTAATTAAGGCTTTATAATAGTGTAGTTAATCACTACATCACCGGGTTCAAGATCTGCAGTATTTCTACATAGAAAAGTGAAGTTATTATAATAGCAGATGAAAAGATAAATCTCACAGACTTAGAGCAGTATTTATTCTTATAAATATGAAATAAGTTTTTCAAATAAATCTTGCATAACTTTGAGAAAGTGAATATATAAGATAAGCACTATAAATCCTTTACTATGTGTAAATAAGTAAGTAATCTTATATTATACTTTATGTACTTTAGCTCAGACTAACCGTGTGACCGTGTCTGAGATTAAAATCAGAATATTTGATAATCTTATTATCAATTTAACTGATTTCATTACACAGTTTTAAGATTAGATAGTAGTCTTATACTATCTCAGTCAGACTTACTATCTACTCTTATCACATTTTTCAAATGAGATTATGATTTTCACTTCTTAAATTAAATTCTTTTTATTGCTTTAAATGACTTTAAATCTTATTTAAGTATTATTAAAAAGTGTTACTTTTAAAAAAATTAAAAATAGTCTAAAAAAACCTTAAAATATCTAAAAATAGTAACTTTATATCAAGAATGAGAGTAAATGAATTCAAATAAGATTACTTTCTTATTTTTTCTAAGTCATGATCTCATTTTCAGATCTGATAAATAGTCACTTTACATGTTTTTTTAATAATTAATCTCAGTGAAATTCATACTAAGAAATGAATGAGATTAGATCAAATGAGATTAAATATAAGATTTATTATTTCAGTAGTCAGTTTGCTTCAGCTTACACTATCTTGCATT